CTTTGTCTCCACAGACTCCTAAGTGCACCACTCACTCTTTTTCCCTCATCAATTCTATGATTCACCTCATCTTTCATAGACCCATCCGCTGACACGTCCACTCCCAAATATCTGAATACGTTCACCTCCTCCATACTCTCTCCCTCCAATCTGATATTCAATCTTTCATCACCTAATCTTTTTGTTATCCTCATAACCTTACTCTTTCCTGTATTCACCTTTAATTTTCTTCTTTTGCACACCCTACCAAATTCATCCACCAATCTCTGCAACTTCTCTTCAGAATCTCCCAAGAGCACAGTGTCATCAGCAAAGAGCAGCTGTGACAACTCCCACTTTGTGTGTGATTCTTTATCTTTTAACTCCACGCCTCTTGCCAAGACCCTCGCATTTACTTCTCTTACAACCCCATCTATAAATATATTAAACAACCACGGTGACATCACACATCCTTGTCTAAGGCCTACTTTTACTGGAAAAAATTTCCCTCTTTCCTACATACTCTAACTTGAGCCTCACTATCCTCGTAAAAACTCTTCACTGCTTTCAGTAACCTACCTCCTACACCATACACTTGCAACATCTGCCACATTGCCCCCCTATCCACCCTGTCATACGCCTTTTCCAAATCCATAAATGCCACAAAGACCTCTTTAGCCTTATCTAAATACTGTTCACTTATATGTTTCACTGTAAACACCTGGTCCACACACCCCCCTACCTTTCCTAAAGCCTCCTTGTTCATCTGCTATCCTATTCTCCGTCTTACTCTTAATTCTTTCAATTATAACTCTAACCATACACTTTACCAGGTACACTCAACAGACTTATCCCCTATAATTTTTGCACTCTCTTTTATTTCCCCTTTGCCTTTATACAAAGGAACTATGCATGCTCTCTGCCAATCCCTAGGTACCTTACCCTCTTCCATACATTTATTAAATAATTGCACCAACCACTCCAAAACTATATCCCCACCTGCTTTTAACATTTCTATCTTTATCCCATCAATCCCGGCTGCCTTACCCCCTTTCATTTTACCTACTGCCTCACGAACTTCCCCCACACTCACAACTGGCTCTTCCTCACTCCTACAAGATGTTATTCCTCCTTGCCCTATACACGAAATCACAGCTTCCCTATCTTCATCAACATTTAACAATTCCTCAAAATATTCCTTCCATCTTCCCAATACCTCTAACTCTCCATTTAATAACTCTCCTCTCCTATTTTTAACTGACAAATCAATTTGTTCTCTAGGCTTTCTTAACTTGTTAATCTCACTCCAAAACTTTTTCTTATTTTCAACAAAATTTGTTGATAACATCTCACCCACTCTCTCATTTGCTCTCTTTTTACATTGCTTCACCACTCTCTTAACCTCTCTCTTTTTCTCCATATACTCTTCCCTCCTTGCATCACTTCTACTTTGTAAAAACTTCTCATATGCTAACTTTTTCTCCCTTACTACTCTCTTTACATCATCATTCCACCAATCGCTCCTCTTCCCTCCTGCACCCCACTTTCCTGTAACCACAAACTTCTGCTGAACACTCTAACACTACATTTTTAAACCTACCCCATACCTCTTCGACCCCATTGCCTATGCTCTCATTAGCCCATCTATCCTCCAATAGCTGTTTATATCTTACCCTAACTGCCTCCTCTTTTAGTTTATAAACCTTCACCTCTCTCTCTTCCCTGATGCTTCTATTCTCCTTGTATCCCATCTACCTTTTACTCTCAGTGTAGCTACAACTAGAAAGTGATCTGATATATCTGTGGCCCCTCTATAAACATGTACATCCTGAAGTCTACTCAACAGTCTTTTATCTACCAATACATAATCCAACAAACTACTGTCATTTCGCCCTACATCATATCGTGTATACTTATTTATCCTCTTTTTCTTAAAATATGTATTACCTATAACTAAACCCCTTTCTATACAAAGTTCAATCAAAGGGCTCCCATTATCATTTACACCTGGCACCCCAAACTTACCTACCACACCCTCTCTAAAAGTTTCTCCTACTTTAGCATTCAAGTCCCCTACCACAATTACTCTCTCACTTGGTTCAAAGGCTCCTATACATTCACTTAACATCTCCCAAAATCTCTCTCTCTCCTCTGCATTCCTCTCTTCTCCAGGTGCATACACGCTTATTATGACCCACTTCTCGCATCCAACCTTTACTTTAATCCACATAATTCTTGAATTTACACATTCATATTCTCTTTTTACAGTCTCTTTTGTCCCCTTTCCCTTTATATAAAGGGACTATACATGCTCTCCGCCAATCCCTAGGTACCTTCCCCTCTTTCATGCAGACTTGTGTACCATTATTTTTGCCATCAATTTTGTCGTATCAGTCACAGCAAGATTTTCTTGTAAGAATATACTAAAAAGTGAATAAGTGAATATGTTGTGTGTGCCCCGCCACTTGTAAGTGTTGTGTGTGCCCTGCCACTTGTAAGTGTTGTGTGTGCCCTGCCACTTGTAAGTGTTGTGTGTGCCCTGCCACTTGTAAGTGTTGTGTGTGCCCTGCCACTTGTAAGTGCTGTGTGCCCCACCACTTGTAAGTGTTACACTTCCAGTTTTATTTCTTGTTTTATTTTTATTCATATTTTTCTTGTTTCTTTGAACAAATTCACTCAGTGTAATTTTAATTTCTTTTTAACAAACTGTTTTCTCTTTCTCTGAGTAAATTGTTTTGCTTAAATTACAATTAAGAGTTAAAGTGTTCAATCAGTCTTTCTCCATATTTTTTTTTATTCAACCTGCATTTTCCCAGTGTAACTTATTACTGCATTGATTATTTCTGCACCTTATTTTGTTGCACTTGTTCTGCAGTGAATTATTTTCTTTTATTGATATTTTTATGCATTATTATTCTCAGTTCATTATTGTTTGAGTCTCCTGTTTTTCATTTTATTATTTTTCCTAATATTGTTTTTGTATTATATTTTTAATTTTGTTTCTGCACTCTTAGAAAATATTTCAATTTCCCAGTTATCTCTCTTTGCATACAATTTAGTGATTTTATTTTATACTTCTTACATTGATTTACAATTTTATTAGTTAATTTCTTTATTAGCAAGAGTACAGACAGCTCATTTTGCATTTAATTCAGCCTCCAGTAATATTTTTTACTTGTAAATTTCAATGTGTTTCTTTATCTTGGGCAGCAGTCCCTCATACTGAGTTGTCCTTCCTCTTGCAGTTTATCTCAGACATTTTTTTATTACTTCTGCAGAATTAGTTGCATCTCTTATTTCAATTTTAGTATTTTGTGTCATTTTTATTATTCATTATTTTTGCCTTATTTGTTCTGGTGCAACTTCTTTGCCATTATGTCTCACATACCGTCAAGTGATACTTTAGTGAATGGCGACACTCAGACCTCTCAGGCTACTGCTGCTCCTGTCATCAGTCCTCATAGTTCATTATCGACTGACAGACCGACCCAGTCACTTTCGAATGCTCACTTAGTGTACCATGCTGGTCCAAGTAAACATGAATCAGTCCACAGTCCTAATATTCCCTTACTGACTGAAAGACAATGTGTTTGTTCTCACAGCTTGTATCTGAGACTTGTTAAAGTGCTGCGTGTGAAGTTTAGATTAAGTTCCTCTGTGAATTACTTATTAACGTAGCCGAGCGGTCAGGCACTAGTAATACTGTCACTCCTGTCTGGAATCCAGCCACAGTGCACACAGGATAGTGTACAGTTACCTTGGGTTTCAGAGGAACCTCAGACAACCCTGGGTGCTGAGACTACTATCCATGCGATGGCGACTTGTTCAAGTAGTCGTTCCTTCCAGGAGACGCTTTGTGAAGAACGTTACTTGTAATGAGTTATGCCATCTCTTGCTGATGTCACAAGCCGTTGCAGAAAGACGTTTCTGTGGCTAGTGTACTCACTTGAGTGTTGTTGTTGTTCCTTGTGTTCCAGATGGTGATATTATCCTCGTTGACAGTAATCCGTGTAATGTAAAAAGTTGTTTCTCGAGTAACTTTCACGTGTTGTTAACGTTTTTAAGTGTAGTCTCCTTATAGTTGATACATCATGTCACTGTATGTGACTCAGATTGAATACCAGTATTGTCGACCATAGCATGTTTTTAAACACCGCTCACCCTCTAGGCACTGGTGGGTTAGTCTGAGAGAGAGGCAGGGCGGCTGATGGTGCTTCCCATACTTTCCGTTATAATTATACGTACTAACCAGCCTAAGTGAGTGTTTTTACCCCATCCACGTTATCGAACCCACATGACAACAGCACGTCAAGTCCTAAAAACCATTTGTCTCCATTCACTCCTAACACACACTCACGCATGCTTTCTGGAAGCCCAAGCCCCTAGCACACAAAACCTCCTTTACCTCCTACCTTCAACCTTTCCTAAGCCAACCTCTACCCTGCCTTCCCCTCCACTACAGATTTATACACTCAAAGTCATTCTATTTTGTTCCATTCTCTGTACATGTCTGAACCACCTCAACAACCCCTCCTCAGCCCTCTGGATAATAGTTTTGGTAGTCCTGCACCTCCTCATAATTTCCAAACTACAAATTCTCTGCATTATATTCACACGACATCTCCACTGTCTCCAGCCTTCTCTATGCTGCAACATTTACCACCCATGCTTCACACCCATATAAGAGCGTTGGTATAACTACACTCTCATACATTCCCCTCTGTGCTTCCATGGACAAAGTTCTTCATCTCCTTAATTCCCAGCTACTTAAGACACCTAAGGTGCTATTCAAGGTGCTAATCCAGGTACTTAAGTGTTTTATTCTCTGTCTTATTTTAAACTTGAAACCATAACTTTTAACAGATATACTGCAATATAAAGACATTAAGCATACAATTTATCCAGCAGATTTTTGTGTAATTATAAAAGTTCATTATATCAAGGTCCATTATATTAAGTATTACTGTAATCAACTGTGTGGGAAAAATGTTCTTTGAAAATACAATTGTTGGTATCCATACCTGTGATCCCTGGCATGCCATGACTTCTCCCAGCGAGCACTCAACAGCACCAAGAGAGTCCTGATCATCTGGGTTTGTACTCTTGGTGTCCCAGTCATATATAGCAAATTTAAGATGCTGAAAATAAGAAAATGGAAAAAAGTATGAAGTACATTGAAAATGTAATCTTTGTAATGTTCAACTGCTCCAAAAAGAAGTCTAAAACAAAATACAGTGGACCCCCGCCTTACGATATTATTTCATTCCAGAAGTATGTTCAGGTGCCATTACTGAACGAATTTGTTCCCATAAGGAATATTGTGAATTAGATTAGTCCATTTCAGACCCCCAAACATACACATACAAACGCACTTACATAAATACACTTACATAATTGGTCGCATTGGGAGCTGATCGTAAAGCGGGGGTCCACTGTAATGGGTAAACCCTCTCATAACACAACCTCACTTAGTGCAATTTTGATTGAATGGAACTGACTGAATGGAATTTCATAATGCTAAGACACTCTTGATAGTACACTCTGAATCTGATACATAAGTAAAGAACAAAATTTTCATAATGTGCTGACTGAGCTGCCTCACACTTGACAAAAGCAAGTTATTACACAACATATGTCTTACCAATATGTTTTCAAAAATCAATGTAATTCATCAATGATTAATTTAAATCCACCCACACCATCTTCCCACCACCCGCACCATCTTCCCACCACCCGCACCATCTTCCCCACCACCCGCACCATCTTCCCCACCACCCGCACCATCTTCCCCACCACCCACACAGTCTTCCCCACCACCCACAGTCTTCCCCACCACCCACACAGTCTTCTCCATCACCCATGCTGGAAATAAGTCACTTTGATTTTTTTGGATTATCCTAGGTTCTCTACACATGTGCTGCTATGTAAGATAATCTTTATAACTGTATTTGTGTATACCTGAATAAACTTACACTCTTACATGCCATCTTTCTAACTACCCATGCTGTCTTCCCCACCACCCACACCATCTTCCCCACTGTCCACACTGTCTTCCCCACCACCCAAGCTGCCTTCCCCACCACCCAAGCTGCCTTCCCCACCACCCAAGCTGCCTTCCCCACCACCCAAGCTACCTTCCCCACCACCCAAACTACCTTCCCCACCATCCATGCTGTCTTCCCCACCACCCATGCTTTCTTCCCCACCACCCACACTCTGTTCCCTTTTCACTATCTGTATTTAGTATCCTGGGCATTGCCTTTAGTCACAAACTCATCAAAACCACGAAATTCATCTTCACCGACACTTCCATCTGTGTTAGAACTATCACTTGGGAAGAGAAGAGTCCCAATTCACTGGGGAGTCAGGTATGCCTTACCACTAGGCATGGTGAACAAGGCGTAATGAACTGGCACTCCCACAATGTAATTATACGAGACCGACACTGGCTTGCAAGCTGTAATATTACGGGACTGACAGTGAAAGGGTTAAGCAAGTTCAAGCTCTTGAAGAGTGGTGGAATGTGATGCCTGGCACAGGAGTTGGTAATGAACCGCACAGCAGCTTTTTGTTGGATTATTTAAGGTTAAAGGTGATTTGCCATGGTTGAACCCCAAGCACAACTACAGAAATCACCTCATCACCCAAAATTAACCAGACACTCAAAAAAGTCCTAAATAATTTATGACTGCTCAATTATTTGATCATTTACTTCAAACTTAAAACTGTTTCAATTTCATTAGTGTAAATTGTGTTTGATGATTGCTCAACTATTTAATCATCACTCCAAACTTAAAATTGTTTTAAATTGTGCTTAACTGCCTGAAATACTCTGCACCATCCCCCCAATGAAAAGCAGGGGTGTCACTAGCACGTTAAGAGACCATACAATAAGTGTCAGGGGCCCGAGACTGTTCAACTGCCTCCCAGCACACATAAGGGGGATTACCAACAGACCCCTGGCAGTCTTCAAGCTGGCACTGGACAAGCACCTAAAGTCAGTTCCTGATCAGCCGGGCTGTGGCTCGTACGTTGGTTTGCGTGCAGCCAGCAGCAACAGCCTGGTTGATCAGGCTCTGATCCACCAGGAGGCCTGGTCACAGACCGGGCCGCAGGGGCGTTGACCCCCGGAACTCTCTCCAGGTAAACTCCAGGTAATATAAAGGGGCTTTTGGCATGTTCACCCAATTGTTACACTTTGTACAAACATACATCATGCTAAAATAAAAATATTATATTATTATTATATTACGTATATAGTATTATTAGGTAAGGGTAGGCGAGAGCGTGGTGAAGTGCAAGAAGGGCAGTTTGGGGTACATAGTACCATATCTTAGAAAAGATGCATGCTGTTTTGGAGATTTTCTTGGATATATGCAACAAGATAGCAGTCAAGGTGAATTATTATTATTATAATCAAGGGGGAAGCGCTAAACCCGTAGGATTATACAGCGCCTGGGGGGGATGTGGAAGGCATTCAGGCTTAATTCGAGGAACTGGAGCACAGATCCAATTCCCTAAATCATGAGCCCCTCACCAACATCAAGGAACCTTCCCTGAGGGGAGTCAAGGTGAAGACCTAGAAATTTGCCCTCAGTGTGTCTTGTAATGGGGGAACCATTTATCAATATGTTTAGCTGGATATTTGAAGCTCTGTTTACAAAAAGCATGAAGTAGGTTTTGTTTATACTGAGTGATTTTTGTTGGTCATCATCCAAGTAGATATTTTTAGTAGCTCGTCATTTACAGTGTTTAAGTATAACTGGGTTTGGGTTAGAGAAGACAATGTAGTGCCGCCTGCAAATAAAATAGATTTAAGGAGTTTAGATGCATTGGAGAGGTCACTGATGTAAATGAGAGAGAGCAGTGGGCCAAAGATGCTACCCTATTGGACTCCAACAACTACTGGTTGAGTAGTGGAGGTAACATCATTTGTGTATATATACTGGTGTCTATTGCTAAGATGAGATTTTAGGTAATTGAGGGTATGTCCTCTAAACCCGTAATGTTCAAGTTTTAGGTGCAAGAGGTCGTGGTCCACTGTATCAAGTGCTTTCCATAAGTCTATGAAGAGCCCCAGGGAATATTTATTGTTTCGGGTGCAGTACAGCCTCTCCACGCTTAGTGACGTACTTGTTTACTGATGCCTCGGATTTGCGATGGGCTCTCTGACCTGTATTCACAATTAAATGTATCCTGGAGCTGATTTCCTCTATTCTGTTTATTTCAATATACAGTACACTACTGCATAAACATTTAAAAATATATGAGAAATGTTATAAATGGTGCAAAGGTAACATTAAAACAATATCAAAAATGGTTGAAACAAACTCACAACCATTATAGTATATTCTTCACTTAGCGACGCATTCGTTTAATGACGTGGTCTTAGGAGTGAAGAGGCTATATATAGAACTCGCAAAATCGTAATGACACGATTGCTAACAAACCATACCACAGTTTTGAGACTGATTGCGGGTTCTATCCCCACCCATGGTATGGTTTCTATATATAGAAGTTCAAGCATACACATAATAGCATTATTCGTACTTTTTTCAGCCTAAATCCAAACTGGCAGGGGTAAAGTATATTGTGGGATATTAGGTAGGAGTCCTAGGTAGTAGGTTGGTAGACCGCAACCGCCCAGGGAAGTACTACCATCCTGCCAAGCGAGTGTAAAACGAAAGCCTGTAATTGTTTTACATGATGGTAGGATTGCTAGTGTCTTTTGTCTGTCTCAAACATGCAAGATTTCAGGTATGTCTTGCTACTTCTACTTACACTTAGGTCACACTACACATACATGTACAAGCATATATATACACACACCCCTCTTTGGGTTTTCTTCTAGTTCTTGTTCTTGTTTATTTCCTCTTATCTCCATGGGGAAGTGGAACAGAATTCTTCCTCCGTAAGCCATGCATGTTGTAAGAGGCGACTAAAATGCCAGGAGCACGGGGCTAGTAACCCCTTCTCCTGTATATAATACTAAATGTAAACAGAGAAACTTTTGTTTTTCCTTTTGGGCCACCCTGCCTCGGTGGGATACGGCCGGTGTGTTGAATGATGATGATTAGGTAGGAGTAAACTGGCTTGTGTATTATTTTTCCAAGATTTTAGAATGTAGAGACAAGTTTGATATAGGTCTATAGGTATTCAATTCAGCTGGATTGCCCCCTTTGAGGACTGGGATAACCCTTACTGTCTTGAGTATAGATAGGAAGGTCGAAGATTCCACAGATTTGCTAAAGGGAGTTGCAATATTGGGTGACAACATGAGCTGCTTTATATACACGAGTGGTGGTAAGTTATTTAGGTCTCCTGCCTTGTTTTAATGGGCGAGAGAGAGATCAGTAGGGTTTGCTGGAACTAGAATTAAAGTATGTATTCAGGAAGTTTACTAGTGAGGTAGTCTTTTGGCTGAGTGTTTTTGGGATTTTTCTTGCTAGCTTGGTTCCTACAGTATTATTATTATAATCAAGGGGGAAGCGCTAAACCCGGAGGATAGATAAAGAAAACATTAAGTTTATTGGCAGCATCTGTTGGCTGGACGAGGAGTTCCTCTGGTTTAGTTAATCTTTCTGTTTCTAGACAGTTTTCTAGAGCCTAAAATTTAGAGGGGGTTTTCCAGGTCTTTCTCATATCCCCTTTTATGTCATTGAATCTGTTTTCATAATATAGTTGTTTAGATCTCTATTAGATTAGTAAGTACCATTTTTCATATACTGTAGATGTTTATTATCAATGGACCTGAGGATGCTGTTTGTAAGCCAAAAGAATAAGGAATAAAGATTTTATTTCTTTGTAAAGGTTACAATGTGTAATTACAATTTTCGTTTGCTAAGTACAAAGAAAGCCACTATTATGCCAGGGCATTTTGGGCAGACTAATCCTAGTACATAATACAGTGGACCCCAGGTTTACGATATTATTTCATTCCAGAAGTATGTTCAGGTGCCAGTACTGACCGAATTTGTTCCCATAAGGAATATTGTGAAGTAGGTTAGTCCATTTCAGACCCCCAAACATACACGCACAAATGCACTTACATAAATACACTTACATAATTGGTCGCATTGGGAGGTGATCATAAAGCGGGGGTCCACTGTAATTATGTACTTAAATCTAGACAACGTAA